CTCCGTAATTCATACGATTTCGGTGGCCACGTTAAAAGGACTGCCTCCGTTTTACAGCGTTTCGTCCCGCTTTTATTAAAAGATAAACCTCGCTTCGAGGTCCAGCGCGACACAACCGAAATAGAAATTGAGAACTGAGTAGACGCCGTCTTCTTCAAACAGTGTCAAATGTGAGGATGAAACACGTAAACCGCGGAACTTTCGTATCCTAGAATTTCCTTATCCAATAATATCTTAAGATTTTTTAAAGATATCTTTAAATACTTGTACGTGACGTAATATTTTTCTATTTTCAACGTTATTTGCGGATATTCGTAATATTCTTCATGAATACATCATACAAACAAAATTATATGAATGTGATAATTCATATCGCATAAAAATTTTTAATCTTTTAAATCTTTTTTTGAATTTTCTATTTATTTCAAATAAGAATAAAAATATCGTTCTTTCAGTTTCATACGTTTACAATTTTATTTATTGAAATTTTATTTATTGACATTTACACATTTATGCAAGTTTATGCATTTAAAAGCAACGATATGCAGCGAAAAGTAAGCGTACTAAATTTACCTGCAAATGGTCCAAAAGAGCTTCAAGACCTCTGTCCGTTATCGCGCAGCATCGCAATGATAAAGAATGCACGTATCGTTGTGCTAACGGGAAACCGCGTGTTAATTCTGGAATATCTTCATCGGTCGCACCTAGGAGGACTAACGAATCGAAGCCTCTTCTTACCAAAGAAGCGTAAAGTCGGGTACGCGCGCTCGGTTGCATGGCACGAGCCTCACGGCAACGCACCACTGGCACCAGTCCCGTCCAGAGTCGTGGTCTTGCATACAAAACATCTCTCCATCTCGTGCAAACCTGCAGATAATAACACAATAAGTTGAGTTGGCACGCAACTTTTTCCTTTAAAACTACAAGAAAATTGCGCAAATATTTAAAAGGAATTGTATTCTCGGAGAGATTTTGATTTCGTTTGCACAATTTATATTATATTAATATTAAGGATATTGGAATAAAAAATTTCATTTGTTACGCCACCTGAGCTAAAGTTCTTCTTTCCGTAGCGTTAAAGTAGAGAAAAAATCGTCCAAGAAAATTATCGTCCTGCATCAGCTGCTCCCATGTAGTTGGTGGCATGTAACCACCGGTTCCTCCGCTGGCCAAGGGAACGGCTAGCTTCATCCTGTTTCTAGATATCCTAGTTCTGCTCGGAGTGACATTATTTAAACGTTCCTTATTATTGCCCGCTGGCACATTGTTGATAGTCTGTGCGGCACTTCGGCTGGGCTTCTCGGGCGTTGCGTTTGCATTATTTGCGCTTTGCAAATTCATGTAAGCGACGCTACCACTACCGCCGCAGAAGACATTTGTCACGCGTTCCATAACGCTGGTCTTGCCGCTTCCTTTAAAAAATTTAACATCATTTAACAATTTGACATTTTTTTCGCCGGTGAAAAAGCAAAAAGTTTGCGCAGATCAAAATTTGGACGATTTTAAAAATCCAGAGTTGAAGAAAAAAACGGGATTTTGGAGCCACGAATGAAATTTGAATCAAGAATTCATGGAGTGAGGAATTTGTAGAAACGGAAACCTACAAAATTGGAAAGTGGGAAATTCAACGAGGTTCGAAAGGACAAGCGTTTGTAAGATTTGAAAAGAAAGATTTGTACCGACGTTTAAGTATTCTCAGATGAAAACTTTGTATTTTTATAAACCTTACTTGTCTTATTTGAAAGAAACATTAACGTCCATTTCTATCAATGTAAATTAACTTAATTCTTAGTTTAATTTATTTTTTATCTTCTCTTAATTTAAAGAATTAATTGAGAAAAGATAAAAGATATGTGTATCGTATCGCGATTAAAGTTAATCCAGTGGTATAAATGAACGTAAAAGTTTGTTGAAGCAAACCGAGAAGCCGAGAATCCGAGAATCATGAAAATTTACAATTCTGAAAAGAAGATTTACGGAATTTAGAACGTTACATAAGATGCAAATGTAAAATATGAATATTTTAACAACTGAATTTCTCCGGAAATATACTTTTCTTGGCATATACTTGGGGGAATTATATAGCAGGATACACAAGATTCATCAGTCGAAGAGAATTTTCTACTAACTTTTGAATCGATATCATTAGCATAATTATACTGTAATTTTTCTCTAATAAGATTTGGCATGAGATTATTCGAGGCTTCTTAGGCTTATTCTAAGCTGAATATTCTATTTGGCTCGTGGTGCACCGCTATTTCCCGTTGTCATTTATCTTGTTAAATTATTTTTATTCTCAGCATAACTGCACCTGATAGTCTTATCTCGTACGAAAGGCGATAAGATTAACGCGATTGAATCGAGTGGCGAATAATTGGTTAATTTTTTTATCTTATTAATCAACGCACGCGTTACGTGCATCAGTGGCCAAAAGTCGGAGATGCAAAAGTAGGGTGGAAAAAAGAATGACGGCAAGGTTCGTGTCTCTCGTGTTGCCCTGAAAACTTTCTGGGGCTCTAGCCAAGTTAATTGCGATCTTGCCGTCCTGGTCCTGGCGTTTGTCCAGTCACAGATATTTCCTATTTGCGTATCTGAACGTAAATGCGATCGGCGCAATTAGGACGATATTAGGACGGCGTGTTTTTAAATCGTCAAGGATGGCGATCGATCACGCCATCCTTGTGGTCGACGCAGCGCGGTCCCCTTCAGGAAGGGAAAGGCGAACGAATCGAAGTCAAATCAGGCCATTTCGCTTTGAGTTGAATTCATTCGATTCTCAAATCGTGACTATTTAAGTGAGATTTTCTTGATCGATTGAGCAAATGGAATGGTCGTGATTATCTCGAATCGTGATCCTAAATGATCGAATAAGCGTGTCGCCTTAAAAACATTTTGTCACAGTCGAGTTTGCGGTATTTGCTGCTATTTTGCGTATACGAGGACGTAAGCTATCGATTCCGTTGCAGTTGAAATTGCGACGACGAAAGTTACGTCGAGCGGTGCCATTTAATAAATTATGGAGAAAATATTGCGTGTAGCAAAGGGGTGAGCGTTCCCGCGTTACCTAACAAATTGGCATCGCTCAAGTGATTACCGATAGATAAAAGAAGACAAAGGAGACAAGCTTTGGCAAAGAGATGAAACCGATGTCGCGATTACGTAACATCAGACTCGAATGTCGAAGATTCCGTCCAAGATTCGTCGAGCGAGAAAAATCGCGAGATCGGCGTCGGCAACCCTTTGTCAGCAGCTTTTTATTTTTCATCGCCGTTTAAGCGGAAGATAAACTTGACACCGATCCACGCCACGCGAGGGTAATCTCCCTTCCTGCCCTCGATAGTGCTGCGCGAAAAAAAAAAAAAATCGAAGCTAACGCGGAGAAGGTGCGTTATGCTTTTACGCACGCTGTCACGAAGAGGGGGAGGTGGCGCGGTAGTTGACGGAAGGAAAGGTATCGAACACAGATAGATAGAATAGGTAGACGGACAAAGAGATGGGGATGTAAACGTAGAGTGGAAAGATGAAAGATGGCGAGGAGGGAAGCGATTCACCACCGACCATGATGCTTCGACGTCCGTAATCCCAGACCATTAATTCGTTTGGTCAGTTCAGCGCTGGCACGTTCGACGACGCCCTGTGCCGAGATCGAAGACATGATACCTCGATGAGGCACTCTTCACGTTTCGTTCCGCACTTGTCACGTCTCTTGGCGTCCGCGCGCTTCGTAGTCAAGAGTAACACGGTAAAGTTTGTAGATGACGGAGCCGCGTCATATTCGGCTCGATGATGGACGTCGGACGTAGATAGGGTGCGAGCGAATGTCTCCCTCGCGAATGAAGACGCTGCGCGCCGGTGACGCGCGCTCTCGGAAGGATGACAGCGATCGCGTGCGTGCGTGCGTGCGCGCGCGCAATCGAGATTCGCTTCTTCCTCTTACCCTCCTTTATCTTTAAGAGCGAATCGTCTTATATTAATTGTCGATGATTTTGTAACGATCCGGCTTGAACTGAATCGCGAAAAAAAAAAAGGGGAACGAAAAATTAAGCACACGCCACCAGAGAATAAATCAATAATTGCGCAGAATCGGCGCAGGATAATCCGCTATTTGATATGATGCCCGGGCCACGGTTAACGTCAACGTCGCCGATGATGAGTCACCTCGTCGAGTCAGCGATATTCGCGAGCGTTGTTCGCGAATCTCTCTGTTTACATGTCAACGGTGGCGGGCATGGCAAAAGCGAGGCTGGAACGCGCGGCTGCCGTTGCAGCGGCCACGACGACACGTAAGGGTGGTTTGCGCGAGACTGAATCGATACTCGCGCGTTGCTGAACTTGTCTGGTTGCCTCTCTCCCACCCCTGCTTATCGAGTGCCTTCCTCGAGCGCGTGTGCCAGCTACTTTACTTCTGCCTGCAAACCGCTCGGAACTGCGCGCCTGATGATACATAATATCGCTTTACCCTTCGGGATTACTATGGTTTTTCCTTGTATTTTGTACCTTAAAAATTAAGAATAAAATTTTTTGATATATTTTTAAATTAAAAATAAATAGAAATTATGAAAACGTATATGTATATTAATGGAAAAGTATATTTACATATAAAAGAACCAAGACTTCATTTTTGATACAGTTAATATTTTTGTTAATATTTTACAGTTAATATTCTTAACGCGACAACAACTTCTACAGATAAAAATAGAATATAACAAACTTTAACTTATTGACTTTCTATTTTTCTACAGACTTGTGATTTTTTTCTGTATTCTTCGAGTATATTATCTGATATTTTTACTAAATGAATCGAAAATGTCGTATTAGTCAAGTTAATCAATTTTCAAGTAGGAGTCAGATGAAAGCTTATAAATCTATAAGATATTATATGCGAACCATAAGATTCAAAGAGTCTCGCAGACTTCTGGGATACCTTATTCATCCATGACATTCAAACGACGTCAATAGCAAATGTCACCTTTTTGCAAGAATACATTATTGGATGTTTCACCCACGCATCGTAATAAAGAATAAACGACAATTTTTTTTCTAAGGGTATGGGAAATTTAACTAGGCGATTGATTAATGAGAAATTGTATAGTATTCATTTCAACATTTATACATCGTTGTATTGGATGTAATATCTCTGATCTTCGCAATATAAAAAAAGTTTCATGCTTACGCTATCTTGAGACCAGCAATGGAATTCTCTAAAAGCTTAATAAAAACAGAGATTAATCAAAATATATCATTTAACATTAACATCATAAAATTTGCAATAATATAAATTACCTTCAAGTCCCAAACTACAAGTTGTCCGTCTAGACTACTTGTGCTAAATTCATGATCGGATACTCGGCGAACACAATTGATCGTGTTTTGATGCACGCTATCCAAAGCGTTATCATTCGTCTCATTCCTTGCTTGTCGATCTAGCGACTGAAATTTTCGCATAGCAGATAATCCAGCAATCTCTTTTTTCTGTGTGTTATCCAACTTTGAAACAAAATATATTTGTCCGTTGTCATCTATGGAATACAACATTGGCATACAGCTATGTCCCTGTAAGATAGAGAAAGTTAGTATATTTGTCGGATAATTTTAAGAGCTGCGATAATTACCGCGGCAACAATGTTATTAGAATCTATCCAAATGCAACTTAAAAACGGTAAATGCTCTGTATACAATCTCATGACCGAATATATGATTCCGTTTCCTTTAGTAGCGTCAGCAACACATATAGATGAATTGTGCGCTACCCAACAGATTTTATTACCACATGGGCTGAAAGCTACCGAATGTATCCAGCCACCTGAAAATAAGGATATTAAATTTAATTCGTAACAACAGAAAATGTTTAATTTATATATATATATATATATATATATTTTACTATTTCAGATAATATAGGATAAAAAGAGGAATAAAAAAGACAATTATATATAGCTATACCTCCATTGGGAGTATTAGGAATCTCAGCCAACAATGTTCCTAAAGTAATATTCTGTACTTTTCCCCAAGCACTTGTACCAGGATTATCGTCCATATCACTGATAAATGCACTGAAAACACGGACCTTGTAGTCCGTAGATCCAGCAACCAGAACCTTATTGTCCGGATGCCAGTCAACAGTAGTTACCGTAGACCTCAACGGACGTTTAATATGTTTACATAACCACCAATTATTTTCTGATACAAAGTAACAAACAGCTATAACTCGTCCACCGGAGCCCACGGCAAATTTGTTTTCTGCAAAGACAACTTTTCTACAGAGCTGAAATAAGGAATATCAAGTAAATTCTATAAACGCACACCATACCTAGGGGCGACCATTTTACACAAGTAGCGGCTCGATTTATTCGGAGAAGAACCCATGCGGGATCCCACTTGCCATCTTCTTTCTGAGTCCACACATAAGCGTTCTTGTCTGCGGAACAAGTGACTATACGGTTAGTTTTTGGCGCCCAATCAATTCCCATGACAGCCATGTGATGTTCCTCCAAGGTCTCGAGCAACTTCCATCCGGATGAAGTACGTTTGTGCACTTGAATTTCATTGTTATTCGGGCATATGGCAACCTCTGCGAAAATGAATAAATTATCACTTTTTCCTATCAAATCTAACAATCAGCGATACATAGCATTGCAAAGAAAATTGAACTCCGTACCAGATCTATCTCTGTTCCATGCATGACAGCTGATGGCATCGACACCCAAATTATGTACTTCCGTCATTTCGCGTTTGCTTGCTGCTTGTAGAGGATATCTCAGGATGCTGTCAATTGCGCGCGCGGACGAGAAACTCAGAAAATCGAGAATGGCGAGATGGGACGCGGTCGAATAGCAATAGTGATGAATCAACGGACACGCGGCGGACACACTCGATCACTCGAGGCGGGTTCAACGGGCGCGGTCGCCGATTAAACTTTATTAAACGAGGCTTTAGCGTGTGCACCGTGTGCGATCGTGTACACCGGTAGCGCTCACGGAAATTCGCGGACTCTGGTCAGTCTACACGAATTTCCCCGACCTCTCCAGACGGCCGCAAAACACGCCCCTCTAAACACCGGAATTGACAGTTCATCCGTAGATAGCGGGTTATCTGCCTCCTCTTCGAGGTTATATTGCTCCGGCTATACCTACTGCAGACGCGCCACCTAGTCCTTGAATTTTTATTCTTTTACGCCGATGACCTCTGTCGAATGTCACTGAAGCGTCATCTATCCAACCACTGACGAGATACTATTAAAGACCGACAACCGTGGGCAAATTTTCGTGTCCACTAATGGTTGCGTTCAGCAGAGAAAGCAGATCAGTGAGCGTTCAGTGATTCTTTATTATGATTGGTTTCTACACTTATATTCAACGAAGATCTAAAGGCAAGGACCAATTATATTGAAAAATCACTGAGCGATCTGCTTTCTCTGTTAAACTCAGCCAATGAGGCCCCAAAAGCGGTCACGCCACTCCCGTAAGATTATCGGTATTTAATAGAGTCTGTTCTTTTTAGCTGAACTTGCTGCACTAGTTCAGAATTTATTTTTCTTCTTCCAGTGTAAGAAAGAAAGATGAACTGTGAGTACAATCTAATACAACCAGTTCAACTAAAAAGAACAAGTCTAATATCTCGTCGGGTAGGAACAAGTCTAATATCTGGTCCAACACCTAAAACGAAACTTTTGAGAGTTCAGTTTCAAATCGAGTCGTCTTTAGGCCGTTAAGTGGATGGGAGTGTTTTGTTCCTACAGTGATTTTTTTTTGTGATTGCGTCATCACGCATTTTCGATTTTTTGCTCATCATGCATTTTTTTTTATCTTTGCTCATACAACTTTCTTTTGCATTAATTATTTTTCGCATTGAATCGTGGCTTGTGTTGGCGCCGTTTAGAAACGGCCATTTTCCAGGAGTATCAGTATCAGTATCGAAGCTTTTGAGTCCTTCTCGGGCCGTTGAGTGATTCGTCTTTTGTCCCCACAAAAAATTGTTAATTGATATTGCGTCATGACGCTTTTTTGATTCTGCTCATACATTTTTCGAATTGAATCGTAGTCTGTGTTGGTGCCGTAAGACAGTTTCGGTCAAGAATAAGAAGAAGAAGACGAAGCTCTTGCATCGGTTACGTTGTAAACATACCAAACTGTGGCTTTAGTATCCAACTTTTATCAAAACTCGCGAGTGTTTACTCCTCTCTGCAAGCTACAATTTCAAACTTGAAAGAAGATCGATTTTGTAAAGTTGATAGCGAATTGGACCACTTGTATCGGCTGGAATTCTCTATTAGAATTATCTCTATTAGAAAAAAGGTAAGATATAGAAACATAAATTTTAAACTTGCTAAAAGTTTAACAAATGAAACAATAGAAAATTTCAATCAGCGATATTTACACTAAGCAAATCTATATAATAATTCTTATTTTTCTTTAATTATTTTTTTTCTGATAGTTGACTCAAATAAGCTGTTGATTTAATAGGTTGTTTTTTTCTAAAAGTAGCGATTATAATAGATATAAAGTAGTCAATTGCAGCTATGCGCGCGCGCGCGCGCGCGTGTGTGTGTGTGTGTAGGCGCATGCGTATGATTGCAACAGATTTATTTTCGCGGAGCAAACCGCCACTGTGTGTGCAGAGCACAAAGATAAAACACGCTTTTGTTTAATTCCTTAGACCTGCCTTACGTTTGATATAGCTAAGACGTAATCAAATATTTTACGCTGCGAAGAGAGATCGTAAAGTGATATGGCAATGCCGCGCTTCGAATTGCGATTCTCAATTTCAAATACTATATGCAACGCATATTTTTTAATATTTTTTTATTTCTATTGCATATTTTTTAAATCTACTAATGTGCAAGTTAATATATAAATTATATAAAAGTACCTCTTTAGAATTTAATTAAATCTTATAACTTAATTAATACTTTTTAAATGAAACATATCGAGCGCATTGCATTGACATATTACATTGTATTTATGCCTGTACATGCATTTATGTTTAAATCGAAATACTTTTATTTATATTAAATGACAGATATCTATATGTAAGAGTCATATATCTGTACATATAAATTTCAAGAAATAAATTTCGAGAAAGAGAGAGAGAAATTTTATTATCTCATTATATAATTTAAAGATTGAATGAAATTTTCTTAGGGATTTTTATCATCAAATCATTTTTTAATCATTAAAGCAACATGTTTGATAAATATGCTTGATACTTATTTATATTGTACGATAACAATAATATAAAATTCAATTTCTATCATTTTGTACACTTTCAATCCCTTTCAATATTTTAGAATACATTGGTTATTAAAATGATATGTATATACAGCAACATATATTTTACTTTACTATGCAAAGCGGCTTTTTACCTCGCTGGCTCTCTCAAATTAACTTTTAATAGAATTAGCGAAATTCTATTTACTGCATAGATAAAAGCTCGCTTGTATCTCGGTGGTACGTATCAAAAGAGACTTTTTAATATTTAATACAATACGACATGATGGAATTATTATCTTTTAGCGGATAGCGGATAAACATGACATTAATATATTAAGTTTTTCAAAAGTAGTAGTACATTTCACATATAATATGTTTTTGAAAACGATAATTGTTAATTAAAATAATGTTTTTTATGCTATAAGGTGCAGTTTTGAATTCGAATTGATATCATTGATTTTATTTCTCTACTGCAATTTTAGTATGAAAAAAGAAAAAATAATTTTCATATCATCCTATATTTTCAAAACAATATCACCTTTCCCATTATCCAAATGACTCTATAGTATCGACTTTACGAATGTTGTAACGTGACTACAATATTCGATGGTGGTCACAGTGAGAAAACCGGAAAACCACCTCTGCCACCGAGAAATCAGTCCCTCGAGAATTGACCAGGTCTGAGTCTGGCAAACAAACTGGTTAGACCACACACCACTGCCTCGTATTCGTACTAAATAACTGTTCTCCAAGAGTGCCAAGTCGCTTTTGAAAATTGACTCTTCGTCGAGCTTAAGATTTTAGTCTCGATATATATGCGTATGCTAATCTCAACAAATTCAACAGTCCAAACAACCTGCTCGAGTAATAAAAATAGAAAGACAAATAACCGTTGCAGATTGTAATGCCAAACAAAAATTACACGAATGTGAGATTTGGAAATTTAGTTGTTGGATTATTTTCAGCCAGAGATTGAAATAAACATTTACAATCTTTTATATTCTTAAATGCGATACTTTTTATACTTTAAATGAACAAAAATATAAGTGCGTTTCTTACATTGTATTAAATATACATACAAATATGTTTGACTTGGTAATCATATACATTGATCATATAAATTTTCCGAAGATTCAGATATTCGTTATTTTCTAGAGAGATAGAATTTTGCGATTGTGTGTAACATACAACTTTAATATCAATTTTTTACAAGTTTTCTTAATCAGTTTTATTATGATTATACAAATATAATTGTGTATATAATGTATATAATTTTGTGTGTGTGTGTGTGTGTGTGTGTGTGTGTGTGTGTGTGTGTGTGTGTGTGTGTGTGTGTGTGTGTGTGTGTGTGTGTAGTA